CATCTGGATAACAGCAGACTGACTGCTTGTAAAATATACGACAGGTCTGGACCACTCGTGAATTTTGTTCGTATCTGAAAAAAAATCGTAGAATACGAAAACATTGGTGAATGCCACAAATTCTCCTAAATCACTCCTATGCACAACTTAAGAACAAATCTGTGTGTACGAACGGTTCTTGCATGATGAATGATTTTGAGCAGAAAAGCCTTAAATCTTTGGCACTTCTCCTGCATACTTTTCAATACTAGCTGTGAAATTGCAATATCCATATATGGTTTGAGGTTTCATCTTTTAGATGGTATCAAGAAAACTTTATTAGGATACACAAACAATAGGATTCAGAACAGTTTTCGAGGGGTTGTCCCGATTAGCAAGACAAATCAAACTATATCTTTGGAACCACTCATGATATCAGGCTAATCTGAGTGTCAACATGTAGGGATGTGAAAGGAATTTTAAAATGTACTTAGTTTGTCCAAATATGACTTATTTCATGATTTGATGTGATGGGTCACATATTTGACATTTACTGTCAATAATAAGAATTGCACAACAAGCCTGGAGTTTGAGAGTGCTGCCAGATGTTTTCAGTCTCCCTCTAACTCTATTTTTTTCCTTTTTTTTATTTGTGAGCTAAATGTCTCTCAAGTGATGACAGGCCTAAGTGTGAGTTATAAAAGAACACTTTGTGCTTTTTAGTTAGCTTTGTGATTTACTTCTTGCTTCCCATGCTGAACTTGTTCTGTATGAATACAAGCGGTACTGATTATGTTTGATTCAGACAGAGACATAAAAATGACACATAACAAATACTAAAAGGCTGGAAATTTGCTAAAGCCTTCTCAGCTCCGTTTGTACTGCACACAGCTATATTGTAGAGTGGTTCTATCTTCTCCCATATCTTATTGGTGTGTGTTTTTGTGCTTATGTGTGTGTTCATGATTTGTTTAGACTGGTTGGGAAAGCGTGAGACCATAGTGAGTGGGCAAAAGCCATACTTTAGGGTTCAAAGTAAAGTGGGGAGGACCCCCTTGTTTTGCAGGAATGTTGAGGAGGAGGCCTGATGGTTAGCTGGAGATGGTGTAATTAAGGGGTGTGATTGTGAGAACCTTCCCTTCCCTGAGCCCTGCAAGGGTCACAGATAAATGAGCAACCCTCTGCCTTTGTTGCTCTCACATGTGGAAAATCACAGTATCTTAAACAAGTACTTGGAGAAGTCCACATGCTAATAAGTGGTTGCATGTCCATGCAAGATACAGTCAAAGGAGCAGATAATATCTTACCTGGGGAAGCCCCCCTGACAGTGGTGAAAGACAGAGGCTGCAGGTTATAGAGATGTTGGTAATTGGGCAACAGGGTCACATAGAAATTCTGTGAAGTAACATAAATTAGATAGCTTGGGAGGCTCCTTCTAATCATGTGGGGCTATGTGTCGCCCTGTTGGTGTGGTTGTTGTAATTTAGTTTTGCTTGACGTGCTATTTGCAGAGAGCTTGATAACACATTACTGTGCCTGTCTTTGCAAGAGTGCTGCTGGGTGACAAGCTGCAGCAGCAGGGTGTGGCGTGTGAGGATAAGTGCAATGTTGTGTTTGCTGAGTAAACCATTCTGGATTTATTTGTCAAGATGTTGTCGCCTCTGTCCTGCCTTCCAGTTACAAACCAACCTTCCCTATTCAGAACTGAAGCCAAAATCTGAAGGACCCACATGACTGGCAAGCTTAGCGCTCATGAGCCGTCACTTAATGTTTAATGAAACCCTTACCTTAAAATAAGCTTTTGATTTTGAAAAAGACAGAGATAGGAGCAATGTGGAGCAATAAGATAGTTTTATAAACACTATTCTTTCTTTTGCGGCACTCCATAGTTGAAAACGTGAGCTTCCATGTTTGCGTTCACATTTTTGGATGAACCTGCTGAAAAAGGTCAGCAGCATCATCATCACTGTTGTGTTTCATTTTCACACTTTTGTTTTACTTACTTTGATTGCTGAAAATATTATGAATGGAAATAAAAGGTAAAAAGTCAAGCAGGTGAAGTCTTCCTACATACATTTGAGCACCCCATAAGAAAGATTTTTGAGTATTGTCTATTTTTTTCCTTTGAGGGAAAGACACCATAATCCCTTCAACAACCCCCATTCCCAACCTCTTTAATATTCAATCAACTCCAGATGAGAGACTCTCATGACTTCCTTCTTTCTCTGTTTCATCTCTAGGGTGCAGGATAGAAAACTGCGAGTCTTGCTTTAGCAAAGACTTTTGCACCAAGTGCAAGCTGGGTTTCTACCTACACAAAGGGCGCTGCTTTGATAAGTGTCCTGATGGCTTTGCCCCACTGGAAGATACCATGGAGTGTGGAGGTAAAAAAACGAAATCCCTACATTTTTATCTATTAATACCTTCTACCTGTAAACTGTAATATTTGCTTCTCAGTTGGTTTACTTCATTCAAACTTAAGCCTTCCTCTGGACCTGAAGTCAAAGTTACTTCTGAGGTTTCATTGCACATTCTTGTCTCTGTTTCTCCATTCAGAGGGCTGTGAGGTGGGTCAGTGGAGTGAATGGGGAGCCTGCACCAGGAGAAACAAAACCTGTGGCTATAAGTGGGGTCTGGAGACCCGAACACGGCATATTGTAAAAAAACCACCCAAGGATACAATACCCTGTCCCACCATCGCCGAGTCCAGAATGTGCAAAATGGCCATGAGACATTGCAGGAGAGGTAAGCATGCAGTTCTATGTTGAGGTGTGAGATAAAGACTTTCTGTCAGAAAATCATGGATCCTTTCATATTTAACTTGAAGTTTACTCCACTGTGGTAAACATTAAAGAAAACAGCACACTTATCCCAAAGGAGAAGCTCTCTCAAAGCTTCACCTGTGCTGTGTAGTCCTTGCTCCTGAAATTCAGCCTTTGTGTTTTTACCATTTGTGATGTTTAGATTCATACTGGTACTTCCTCCCATGACATATGACTGTTTTTCCAAGCTGGCCTTGCTCTAGCCAAATCTTTTTCAGAGGTGTATTTCCCATCCCTCTCTTCCATTTCCCTTCATCTCTTCTGTGGAATTCTTCATCGTGTGAACTGCAGATTTCCTCAATGGCGTCTCTGTTTCCTCCTGTCAGCTTGAAAGATTTTTGTGGTGCACAAAGCATGTATGTCAGGCCACTAAATAAAAGGGCGATGGAATTTCTCTGTGCGCAAATACACCTAAAGGAAATGTCTTTTTTTTAAGTAAACTGTTTCTTTCAGATGGTCCAAACACACCATTTGAGGAGGAAGGCCTCAGTTAGCAGTGCTTTTAACTACTGGTAAACATCTTTTCCCCATAATGTACTTTAACATCTCCCATAAACTTTGTATTAGAATAGACCAACTGTAAGTATTTAATTCACCAAAAAAGGGAGCAATTATAGTGGCAAATACTAACCAGTCTGTCAAAGTAAACCATTGTTTAACAAATATAGGAACATATCCTAACTTAGAGAGTTTCTCTCCTTTTTTGGTTTGGAGAGCCAAATGTGAGGGTCACTTAGTGAAGTGGTGAAAGAGTAAATAAACTTGAAATCAACTCTGACAGTTTCTCATATTTCAGCACTACCAGGGCAGTCGCTGCTGACTTGGTTGGAAATTGTGATTCCATGGCACATTTAGTACTTAATGCTCCGTCTTGTTTGTCAGGAAATTTCTTTCCAACTATCATGAGCATGACTGATATTGCTGTTTAATCTTTTTTTAGAAACTTTATGAGCCTATAATTAAAATTAGGTATTTTTAGGCACAACTGCAGTCATCACAGACAAATGTGCTGATGAATAAAGTAAAGAATGAGATGCAGAATCATTTTTCTTTATTTCTTTAAAAACATCATAAGGCTTTCAACATTCATCTTACTTAAAGCTACTTTTCCCTGGTGATGTAGCTGTAGTAAACCTCTCAGTACAATTTCTTTTCCAGCAACTCAGTTACATCTCTGGTGGCTGCAAACCTTGAGTAAAACAGTAATTGTATTTGCATGACGATCTCTGGGCCAGTGAACAGCTGTGGTGTCCTGTTTAATAAAAGCCAACTTCATACTTAGGTATGTCTTGTTACTTTTTCAATGCTAGTGAAAAATCCCCACTTGGCAAAAGCAAGCAAAAGACAACAATCCACAGTTTACATAAATAGAAAGAAAAATGTGAGACACTGAAGCTGAACAGGAGGAGAAACACTCCATCAATACAGGTTTGTCACACAGAAGTCAGAGGACTTCCACTGTAAAATAATCAATTGTGAGTGATAATAAACAAAAGGGAGAAAAGGCCACTACAACCAAATGATCGTCAGAAGTTTCAAAGTTCGTAATAAAATAACTGTAACTCAAAGGAAAGGGAGTGCAATCTCATTGCATAAAGAAAAACTTTAACAAAAGCTATGGTGCTGCTGACTTGAACACTCAGGCTCACGTTTTCCTTTTCAAATTCCACTGTACATCACACCAATGTGTCCTCTGTTCCAATGTCTCCAACAGTCTTATGTTTAAATGATTTACTCCTGATAACACACTCCATCTTTGTTGAAAATGAAGACAAAATATATGAACACACTAAAACAAAATAGTGACACACTGAAATGTTTTTTGTTTGTTTGTTTTTTATGCCAAGCTGATCCATCCATCATGATCTATTTCTAAGAAAAAAAGACTCAAACTAAAACTAGAACTGCAAAGCAGTTATGACCGGGGTCCAAGCCCTTTTATGCATGTCAGCCTTTGTCATGTTGTTTGTAGCATATTGTTGATCTTTTAGCTTCTTGGACAAATTTCTCTCCAACAAACTAAATAAATAAAATTTGAGAAGTTTGAGTATCAGAATTGTTTTTTATATATAGGCCTGTCGCGATAGTCAATAAATC